AACGTTCAACAAAACCCGCAGGCAGTTACAAGCAAAGCTATCATCACAAAGTTTTTTTTAAACACAAGTAGTTTTCACTGCGTTGCAGTGGATATAAAGCAACTTTATTAAAAGCATGTTTTACATAAATTCGGAAATACCGATCCTTCACAAAGCAAATTATACGCCACAGTCTACAGGCGGGTCTACAGGTCGCAAAGGTAAAAATTTGTTGGCCTGTTACTTATGGTAAAGCTTTACTATTGATTCGTTAAATTGCTCAAGAATTTTGGCCATGATACTTACAGTTTTTAGGCCATCGCGTGCTACGAGAATCGTGTCCTGCGCTACAGGAATCGCGTAGCGGGCGAGCGATTCGCGTCTCGCGAGAGGGTGATAACTTACTATTGAGCTGTACTGTACAAGATTACAACGTGAAATGGAAATACGTATCTCGCAATAACCCTTGGGAAACTCGGTTTTACAGTAGCACCACTTAAGTTAAGCCCTGCTGTGCGGCGTTAGGAAGTGGATGGGTACACCATTTTTTTTTTACTCTGTCGCAGTCTCGGAGGGACCTTGATAACGATATTGTTGAAGAACCTTTCTGGGGAACTAGCTGGTTCTCACAACAAACAGACGAGTACTTTTTCAATTGACTCCTTTTAATTCTTCAGTCAGGTGACACCAAGTTGGCACAACTCGTATTTTACAATTCTCTACTAGATCAGTGTTACACGCATTTTTATATCAGCCAGGAAACCAGCTACTTAGCGCAACCCGAATGCTGACGTAAGTCTAATCCGATTGGTTAAAACAGTTTCATTAGCATGAAACCTTCGAGGTAATTGCTTTGTCGAAATGACTCTTCAAACGAAGTTTTCACTGCTAAGCTTAAGTCAACTGGCCAATATAAAACTACGAGAACAATATAAAAACTACAAGGTATATACCAGTAAACAGACTTTTCATAATAACAGATAGGAAAGTACTAAAATTACAGTTTTTAAAATCTAAGGTTGTTGTCAATTTACAGAAGGTTTAAGCTTCTTCATCGAAGATGATTGGCTACAACTTTTCCATAATTTAACCACGAACGTGATCGCAAACTTAAAGGGTAAATTAAAAATGCAGTTCAAAGTACAAGGAAGAATTTAAAACAATAGTTGTTGGTTTACAAAAACACCTATAAAACCACTAAGCTTAATTAAAGTTATCCACTGCCATAGCCTGCGAAAGCATCCGTTTCTCCTTCGCTCTACGCCGCTGGGGACGTTTCGCGAAACGTCTCCAGCGGCGTAGAGCGAAGGAGAAACGGATGCTTTCGCAGGCTACCACTGCTAAGGATTCGGTCAAAAACTCGAGGAAACGCGCTTAAAACTCTTAAAAAACAAGCAGGGTAGTAGTTCCTGGTAAATATCGAAGGGAGACCAGATTAAGGTCAAAAATGTCAAACTGGACAAAATACTTAATATAAACAAAGCTTTGACACCTGCCAACGGTTGTAATTAAACATATCTCATAAACAGAAGTGTTACCGCGGAGATGCACCAAATTGGTACATCTCCTTTGCACCGAATTCATGTCAGGAGAAACTTTCTATCGATCATCAATTAACTTAGAAAACCAATCCTATTAGTAGTGAAGTAGCTTACTCAAACCAAGCAACAAGAACGCTTATAACAACTCCACTACAAACATATATTGTAGCAATTGTCACAAGTGGCTAACGTACCGTAAATCCTCTATTAAGCCCCCCTCTCAAATAAGCCCCCCCTTTTCAGGGGAGGAAAGTTAATAAGCCCCTCCTCTCTATTAAGATCCCCCCCTCCCCTCCCCCAATCCTTATTCTTCACAAAAAAATTAACGATTAATATAAGACGAGTTTTCCAGAGGTTTTCGTTTGTAGGTTGTGTACGACAAATCAAGACAAGTAACCATTCGCAATGAGGCCGAAAGCACATTTTTGAAGAATAAGAATTTTGTTTTTGTTACTTTTAGGCTCCCACAAGTGAATCAAATACTTTTGACAGTGACTTTAATTGTACAACGCGTAAGTCTACTCTGTCTCATACCACGGTATTTTTGCTACAGGTGATGCGTTTTGCTTAATTGAATAAGCCCCCCCTCTCTATTAAGCCCCCCCCCCCTCAAAAGTGCTTGAAAAAAGTAAGCCCCCCGGGGGGCTTAATAGAGGATTCACGGTAACTCTTCAATCAACATTTTCCTTCAACAAGACCAAACAGAATGAATCAACGGAAATCATTTTTTTATTTCGGGAGAGGATGTCGTTTGATTAGTGCTGATGCGTAGGAGTTAACACCAAGTAAAATGTGTCAAATTGCTTTTTATGATATTTTTCCTTAACCTATAAATATTTTCCGAAACGAATGAATTTTGCAATAAATCCCAAACACCGAACAAAATTCCTTTAATAATTTTAAGTCAAAAACGTGCGCACTGTGAACATTTTCCATCGCTTCCATTTTTATTGTTAAACAATATTCGCGGTGGGTTACTTTGTTCTCTCTTTTCTTTTTTCATTTTTTGTGTTGTTATTTTGAAAAGCATATTTAGGATTACAACACAAACACGGCGGTACAGTTCACGTGAAAATTATTGGAATCTGTTACGAAAAATTGTATTGCGTGACTAGCGTGACTTTCTAGAAGCTTGTGTAAGCGTTTCTAAAGCGGTATATTTTGTAATCTTTCTGTAATTAGACTATTTGGAAAGTTATAGATTGTTATTGTGAAAGTATATAAGTAGGCAAGTCCGAGTTAAGTTTTAACTGGTTTTCACAAGCGAAGAGAGTTTGACGTTAGTCGTGTTTAGTCAAGTGTGACGAAGGCAGTGTTAATTGAGTTGGCGGAGGCCGTGTAAGTTTATCAAGTTAATTGAAGTTGGCGGAGGCCGTGTAAGTTTAACGAGTTATGTGCTGTTGTGGAGTTTTACGTCATGGAAACTACGTTCATTTTTGTAATAAATCTTCTTGTTGCTGTTCCGACAACCTTGCGGTCAGTTTAGCTTGGAGCTACTCGTCCTCTAAAAGATTACCAAGATTATCAAGTTAATTGAAGTTCGCGGAGGCCGTGTAAGTTTAACGAGTTACGTGCTGTTGTGGAGTTTTACTTCGTGGAAACTACGTTCATTTTTGGAATAAATCTTCTTGTTGCTGTTCCGACAACCCTGCGGTCAGTTTAGTTTGGAGCTAATCGTCCTCTAAAAGATTACCCGCGTAACAGAATCTTACTTCGGGCCGTAGGACAAGCTGCGTGGCAGGCGTTTGAAAGGGGAGGGAAAGGGAGTTTTAGGCGAGCGAGAAACGCGAGGGCCGAGGAACGCGAGGAAGGAGGGAAGGAAACGCCTGCCAGGAAACCATTGTTTCTGCCATCCCGCCTACTAATTATGTATGCAAAAAGTAACGCAACTGTGAATGACTAGCAGTCAAATAAGTCTGGCTGTGCTGCACTTATTTTTTAGCTTTTGTTTTCCGAAAATCTGAATCGAAGGTACCTACTATATAAAAAAAGTTCAAATGTGGTCGTCCATTGAAAGAAGAAAGTTGCAACGACGCGTGACTGGTTATATAAAATCCAGCATAAATATATTACGTCGTTTGCTGAAGGAAACGTGCTGCACTTCGCAACTTGCGTGCAATGTTTGTCTGAGAAGAATTAAAAACACTTTGCTGGCTCTCAAAATGGACCCAGCGGAGCATAGAACAGAATGCTGATAGCGGGGAAAGAAGAGCTGAACTTCTAAGACCTTCAAGAAGGCTGCAATCAATTATTAAAGTAAGTTCCTGGCGGCTTTATAACGTCTATAACCAGGAAGACAAAGACTTCAAACCAAAAATCGTCTTCAATAATCTGGTCGTTGTTAAAGCGTAACCTGTGTGGTAGGCGTTTGAAGTCAATCAGCTGATATTAAGTACATAGGCAGGATGATATTTCCTTTCTTTCGTTTAGTGATTAAAACAAGCCGTTGGGAGATGAGACTTCTCAAAACCAGTCAGTAAACCTTGTCTAGCTGACAGGTCTTTTCTTCGTGTGTTTTTTTAACTGTGTTCTTTTATTCTCCTTTAAAGCTGAAATTGATGCCTTCAGTTTCCGTTCTGAAATCTCATCATGCTTCACTAACAACATATTATTTGATTGATTACTGAAAGATCAATTAAGTTACTCAGTAGTGTGATGCTGTCAACCAGTGGATTAAGGTATTGAGACTGTGATTGACATGTTTTGAAGACTGACCAATCAGGATTTTAACATTCGCCTGGTGGATGTTAAAAACTAGAAATATAATGGTCTCCTGGCAGACGTTTCCTTCCCTCCCTCCTTGCGCACCCCTCGTGTTTCTCTCCCGCCTAAACAACTCCCTTTCCCTTCCCTTTCAAATGCCCTCCACGCAGGCTAGCCGTAGCACAGAACGGAAATTTTGATTTATCCGCAGGGAATTTAAGTAGCAAACTAATAAATTTTGGTTTTCCACGGTATAAAACGAATTCTAAGCTAGATTTGAGGGGGAAAAGACAAGGTTTTGACGGTAAAAAGCCTAACTGAAACGCACTTTGGAGAAACATTTCGCGTGAGATAGCAGGACCAGCAAACTCATCTGCGAAGTGAGGTGCACTGAAAATTGCCCTTGAGTCTCAATTTTGCCGGTATTTTGAAGCTGCTAGCCCAAATTGCTCCAATGTTTTCTGTAAAATGCTTTTGCAGTCAATATTTCTAGCCAGAATAATTGGCCCTTTCATTTTTATTTATTGATAACGTTTTAAGATCTCTTAATGAGTAAGTTATTATTAAGTGAGTTATTTATCAGGTAATAATGTTTTTGTTTATGTTGTGTTGGAAAGGTATAAACAGGAAGCTGTGGTGCATGTCTTTACAGTGCAAGAAGTGTGGCAGGTGTTTTAGTGTAGCAGGAAACTTAAGGAATCATGAAAGAATTCACACAGGGGAAAGGCCTTATGAATGTAAAAAGTGTGGCAAGTGTTTTAGCCATCCAGGAGGATTATGGAGTCACATAAAAGTTTACACACTGGGGAAAAGCCTTATGAATGCAAACAGTGTGGCAAGTGTTTTAGGGAGACAGAAAGCCTAAGGAATCATGAAAGAGTTCACATTGGTGAAAAGCCATTTGAATGTACACAGTGTGACAAGTGTTATACTCGAAAAGCACAACTAAAGATTCATGAAAGAGTTCACACTGGGGAAAAGCCTTATGAATGTAAACACTGTGGCAAGTGTTTCAACCAAGCAAACAACCTAAGGAGTCATGAAAGAGTCCACAGTCAAGAAAAACCTTATGAATGTAAACAGTGTGGTAAGTGTTTTCGTCATGATGCAGGTTTACGGGGACATAAAAACGTTCACACCAAGTTATTTGGATGTGAAAAATGTGGAAAATGTTTTAGTGATGCAGGACACCTAAGGAGACATGAAAGGGTTCACACTGGGGAAAAGCCGTATAAATGTAAACGGTGTGGCAGATGTTTTAGCCGATCAGACGACCTGAAGAGACATGAAAGAGTTCACACGGGCGAAAAACGTTTTGAATGTCAACAATGTGGCAAATGTTTTAGCCATGCAAATAGCTTAATGCTTCATGAACGAGATCACACTGGAGAAAAGCCTCATAAATGTAAACAGTGTGGCAAGTGTTTTAGCCAAGCAGGAAACCTAAGGAAACATGAAAGAGTTCACACTGGGGAAAAGCCTTATCAATGCAAACAGTGTGGCAAGTGTTTTAGCCAAGCAGGAAGCCTATGGAATCATGAAAGAGTTCACACTGGTGAAAAGCCATTTGAATGTAAACAGTGTGACAAGTGTTATACTCGAAAAGCACAACTAAAGATTCATGAAAGAGTTCACACTGGGGAAAAGCCTTATGAATGTAAACAATGTGGCAAGTGTTTCAACCAGGCAAACAACCTAAGGAGTCATGAAAGAGTCCACAGTCAAGAAAAACCTTATGAATGTAAACAGTGTGGTAAGTGTTTTCGTCATGATTCAAGTTTACGTAAGCATAAAAACGTTCACACTGGAGAAAAGTCATTTGAATGTGAAAAATGTGGAAAATGTTTTAGTGATGCAGGACACCTAAGGAGACATGAAAGAGTTCACACTGGGGAAAAGCCGTATAAATGTAAACAGTGTGGCAGATGTTTTAGCCGATCAGACGACCTGAAGAGACATGAAAGAGTTCACACAGGCGAAAAACCTTTTAAATGTCAACAATGTGTCAAATGTTTTAGGCATGCAAATAGCTTAATGCATCATGAAAGAGATCACACTGGAGAAAAGCCTCACGAATGTAAACAGTGTGGCAAGTGTTTTAGCCAAGCAGTAAACCTTAGGATTCATGAAAGGGTTCACACTGGAGAAAAGCCTCATGAATGTAAACAGTGTGGCAAGTGTTTTAGTGAGACAGGAAGCCTAAGGAAACATGAAAAAGTTCACACTGGTGAAAAGCCATTTGAATGTAAACAGTGTGACAAGTGTTATAGTCGAAAAGCACAACTAAAGATTCATGAAAGAGTTCACACTGGGGAAAAGCCTTATCAATGCAAACAGTGTGGCAAGTGTTTTAGTGAGAAAGGAAGCCTAAGGCAACATGAAAAAGTTCACGCTGGTGAAAAGCCATTTGAATGTAAACAGTGTGACAAGTGTTATACTCGAAAAGCACAACTAAAGATTCATGAAAGAGTTCACACTGGGGAAAAGCCTTATGAATGTAAACAATGTGGCAAGTGTTTCAACCAAGCAAACTACCTAAGGATCCATGAAAGAGTTCACAGTGG